ATTTATTCCACATTAATCTTCAAGTTAAATATTCTTGTTCAACTGCATACACACACACACACACAATTTCTCCCTCTTGTTTACTGTTTATCCACTTGTGAATACATAAAACTTGATTACATAGGAAAATATTATGGATAATACAGTTGTAAAAGTTGTTTACTTCAGCCTAAAAACGAGTAGAATGTTTACAAATTATGATAAATTGTATTATTGTAACTTGACAAGTTGATGACTTTATCTCAGTTACATCTTACTATGCTACAAACTATAGTGCTGGCTTCCTTGATGATATCATGTTTACCACTGTTCCTCATCCTATCAATAACAAGGTTTTACTTCCAACTTTAATCATTTGGCCACGACATACAGATATCAGGCTGGCTAATGCAGATAGTCATGGTTTGGCAAACTCGTATTATCCATAGTCAAATTGATAATCAATATGATGATCCCCATCTCCAACTCAGCTAGATTTCGATTGAGGTGAGAAGTAGTACTTGGGATGCCAGCGTGAACATGATGAAGGGACAGTGGTGCATTATGAATTAGTATGGCAGTCAGGTATTACCCATGGTGACTGAGATCTAAGCAGCAATTGGTAGTTCAGTTAGCAGAGCATTAGGCGAATAACTCCTCGGCTGTTGATTCGAATCCTGACATGACTGACAACTCTCTTTCATTAAACAGATATGTTTATCTTTATCCAAGCCAAGAATAAACTTGGTAGTGTGAAAATATTCGGAAATTGAGCAATTTGTAATCAGTGGATGAAAAACACATCAGTATTGTTTTCGTTGTCTGTATGAAGTAAGGAAGTGAGTCTGCTAACAGGTAAATGGTTTCTAAGTGGTCATTGCCTTGCATAAAACAAGTTATTGAAGTATTACAAGTCAACAAACATACTTTGGCTACACTATTCAAAGGCTTAAAAACCGAATAGTCTTTGTATTGATCTCCAGTTTGCATATTTACCAGGACTGTAACAATTAACGTAGGAGACACAGCTGACTGTTTCGTTCTAGTTCAAGACTCTTCAGTAATGCGCGTTCACGACGATGCGAGAAACAAAGATGAGGAGAACAATTAGGTTTCCTGATGAGCATGTTGCCTGGCAACCACTGCATTGCAATCAATTTCTCAATCCTCATAAACAATCACTTGTATCCAGTATTCCTTTCCTTTACTCAACTGTTCTACTCAGACCTAAGTATGATAGGACCAACTATTAAATTAGTTCCTTCTTAAGGTGACAAAATCACAAAGTGTACAAAGAATAACAACAAACACAAAAATTATTTCCTTTTAATATATTTGGGGAAAATATCACTTCTTACAGATATTGTTTGATACTTGCTGTTTTCCGTTAGTATACAGGATCAAATTGCTCGACTTCTGTTGGCCGATGCGATGGAAGTACATCCGGCTGACATTTAAGACGACAGTCACTTCCTGAATTCCACTGCAAGTCACAAAGAGGAATACAACATCATGAAAATCCGGTCGTATCGAGACATCTCCATTGGAGCCCATCCACCAAGAGGAGTCGAGTGATTCGACCCTATATAGCAACGAGGAATTACAAGTTTCAAACAGCAGCAAATAGTACCCGTTGCACAGGTGGTGGCCCTCGTGCCCCAGTGGCCTAGTGGACAACTGTTTGCAGTTTGAAGTGATTGGGACTGGATTCGAGTCCCAGCAGCAACAACATCACTCACTGGAGTGCAGGAACATCCAACTGACAAGTCCCATATAGGATGAGAAAGCAGTATGATTGGCCTGTAGTTAGGACGAGTGATTGTATTTCATCTATTCTCCTTTGAATTAGGTAATGTTTGTAGAAGAAACACCAACTACCACTGACATATGAAAACACAGAATGGATCTAATAGAGAACGTCTGGTTTAATTAATAAAAAGACGGCAAGTAAATGGGTAAGCAGTTTGTAGCTTCAGAGTATTCATCATGAATGGATATTATCTTGAGAAGTAATGAGAATTAGAGGGGTATTGCAGTGGTGGAATTTTATTATGACACAGTAGTATTTACCTGGGAATAGGAAATTCTAGTCAATAGTTTGCTACTGTTAAACAATACATTTTCAAATTAGCCTATATATTCCTTCAGTTTCTCAGCTTCGAATGAATGAATGAATGAATGAATGAATGAATGAATGAATGAATGAATGAATGAATGAATGAATGAATGAATGAATGAATGAATGAATGAATGAATGAATGAATGAATGAATGAATGAATGAATGAATGAATGAATGAATGAATGAATGAATGAATGAATGAATGAATGAATGAATGAATGAATGAATGAATGAATGAATGAATGAATGAATGAATGAATGAATGAATGAATGAATGAATGAATGAATGAATGAATGAATGAATGAAATGATATTTTTCGATTGCAGTCAAGAAGTCACTGAGTAAAATATTGCTAGTAGAAATAGATGAGGACTGAGACCCTTAAAATCAACGCAAAGGATTGTTCTAGAATCACTGGTTTCTTCAGTTTTCGGGTTTGATCACAGAATAATACTCCGTTACACAACATAACTACTATGGCTAAATAGAGAATGGAAGTACATTTGATGAATTCAATGAGAAACAACATTACTGTCATTAAGTGAAATGGATAATAAATTGGAAGAGATTTTGTTGTTACTATGATTCATATAAAAATTGTAGGATAGATAGATTCAAATCAGAGATGTCACACTATCAGATGATACATTGGCAATAATCAGATATGAGTTATCTATCAAGTCTCATAACAAATTTCTCTAAACATTCACTTCGTAAACAAATTTCATTTCAGTCATAATCAATAAATCGCCTAGACTTTGACTCTCACCTCAAAGCACCAATTTGGTTTTGTTAACATACAGTCAGTATACTCATAAAAAAAACTCATCATTCTCATTGTGAAGGAGTATAAATGCTCCACTCTCTAATTTACTGATCAAATTTTTTATTGGGTTTGATCAGTTTTTACATTTTAGTCTTTTTAACGTCAATGTAAAGGTTTTTTCCAATTTCTTTATTTATTATTTTATTCCCTAATGATGAACACTCTTTGTATATTAATTAGTCCAGTTTCCTGATGATTACAATTAGAAAAGCTCCCACTCACTTTGTATTCATTTGATGAATCAATTTATCAGTAGACATTTTCATTTTTCACTTTCATATTCAAGTTCTTTTTAGTGAAATTCAGTTGAACTAGTGTAAATGATCAACTTATTTCTTCTCGATAACATTTTTGTGAAGAGGGATGTTGTTGTAAATCTGTTATTCCTAGTGAAGTAACAGTAATGGAGTATACTTTGTTGATAAATAGAATTAACAATTAGTATCCGTGTAATTGTTTGCCAAGTTCCATATGTGAAATTCACATTCCTTAACATCAGCTGATAACTATTGCACTTCATTGTACTTCAGTGGTGTAGTGGACAGAGTTTTGGCGTTTGAAATGTTGGGTACTTGGTTTCAGTCTCAGTAAGAACAGAAATCCCCAGGATGCAGGTGCATCCACCTAATAAGTACCGAATAGGATGAAATTCACCTCATGTATTCCACTGTCAACCACTAAGTAAATTAGAACTTTTCACTGTTTTCATCAACATGAACAGCATCGGTTTCATAACCAAACAACACACAATTGAATGAGTTCCTTTCCTCATCTGCTGAAAATATAATCCAAATATAGATGGAACTAATCAGAGAATAGTCCAATTGATGAGTTGTTGAACATTGACAGTTCATTTAAGAACACCATATGGATTTACTTCAACAGTTTCATTAGTCTGTGAACGTGAATTCTTACAGCCAAAGCTTGTAAGGCTAGTGATAGCATAGTCGAGACTTTACAAATGAGTCACAAGTTTGTTATCTTCATTCTACAATCCTGTTATACTCATTCTTTAACTCTTTTGTTTAAAGTAACAGCCTCACCAAAGTGATTATTAGTTTTACCACAGATGGTACATCATGTGGTAAGTCGAGCTGTGCGCTATTCAGAAAATGTCGTTGTGCCCAATGAAATCCGTAAGACAGCAAACAGGTACATAACTGGATGGATTCAATCAACCAAAAGCCCTCGACCTATGTTTTGTGCTTTTTGACACTAGTCAGCAAGATGTATCTGGAATCTCAACGGAACTGGTGTCCCACTGGCCTCATCCAAAGCTGCAGTAATAGATGTTACAACTAAGTCATTCGAGACAAGAGGAACCTCCTGTAGGACTAGATTAAACACAATACCTGGTCATTCCAGGGTAACCAACTTCATTCAGGACTAGATAACATGAACTTGGTTACCCTCTATTGACCAATTCATGTAAACACCTCTTAGTGGAGGTAATGGTGTGCTTATTTATCTCCCATCCAAATCTTCGCTCTAACAGGATTTCTCCATGCATTATCTTACGTCTCAGTTGGTTGAAGAAAGTATGAATGAAAACAGTTTTCATTATCTTTTATAAATATTATCAGAAAGCACAGCTTTGTCGAAATAACTCCATAGGGGAACCGAACACACACAACAAGATGTTTCTTTGTGAAATTCAACTTTGTCTCCTTGTCAGGTGTTAATGACACAAGGTAAGTTCATTTGTCTAGACGAACAATCAAGTCAAGCCAACATTTACATTATCATACCCTAATCACATTCTGATTGGTTGATAATCGTATTGGTAATATTGTCAACTCTACGTCATATTTTTGACTCAATGAAGTGATGATTTTACTTATTTGAGTTATATCTATCGTATGTGTCTGTCTGTCTATCTTTCTAAATCATTTTCATTTATATTCATCCTCTTTGTTCGAAAATACACCGAAGTATAACAGCAGACAGGGAAATTTATCACATTTCTACTTAAACTTCATTCAACATTGGCAACATTAACCATTGTTACCTGAAGATTAAGATTTATTACACCATATTCTTCTCTTAGCTGGTGGTGATAGTGGTGGTGGTGGTGGACGTGTATACGCACTTCTTGATGATGATTTCACAAGGTCACATTTCTTATTACACGCCTGTCTAGTTATTTGTCAACCAACCACAACCAAGTAACTTGTCAGACAAACATACCATCCCCATATTTTATTTACAAAGCATAATTATGAAATAGGCGTAGTAATACACAACTGCCGAAATATGTAAGCACATTACTACTACTACTTGTCTTCCTTTTTCAGTAGGCGGACATAGACTGAAATAATACTTGATCATTGCCCTTATTCATGGAAAGCGAATTATGATTATCATCAATGAATGATATTCAATTCAATATAATGATCTGACAATATAATTTATATTCATCGGTAAATGGACTAACTATAAACACGGATAACATTAATCATCATTCATAGACGATAGACATATCATAAGAAGTAATGAGATAATCATTATGATAATGCAACCATTACTACTCATATGGTTAAAAATTGTCTTCTTCATAATTGGTAAGTTTGTAAATTAATTCATTGTAGTAGTGTAAGTGCAAAATGTATACCTCTTCTTCTTTTTCTTCTCTTCTGTTGTTGCTAATAATTTGTGTTCCTTCTACTAAAAAAACACACTTGATTTCATTTGGTGTTGTTGTTAGTGTCATGTGTTGTATGCGTTTAGTTCACCGTGTGTATCTCTCTGGGCATATATACATATATATTTCTTTAGCTGGATAGATTATCACTATACTGCTCTTATTATGTGTGTGTACCTTGTATCCCTATAGACATGTGAATGAATATTCATTTATCACAGAAAACTGGTAAAATGTGTATAAAAAAAGATTATACTTTATTCTCTGTGTGAAAATAATCTACACAGTACGCTGATATACATTTTTCTTTCTATTGTAAGCATAAGTAAAATAGAATGGAATTACCATAGGTATAACCCTCGATTAATAAACAGGATGATGTTGTTAAGCTAATTTGTCAGTGAAAATTTTTTCACATGCGAAAAATCAGTGTTTCGGTAAGAAGAAAAACAAGGAAGCCAAGAAACAATTTATATCATTATTCGTCCCTCGGATTCCTAGTGGACATATATGGCTTCAGTAGCACGTCACCATTTCACTTTGTTCTCTAAAGTCTCTTGAACATGACTTCACGACTGTTCACAAGCTTTCATTTCTTCCTCACACGATCTCCTCCATGTCGTCACCCTTGGACACCCAACTCGTGGTTTCCCATTGCGGTTCAACTCGAGGGCCTGGCCTTGGGCGTGATGTCCTTGAATGGTCTTTTTAGTGTACGCCCAACCCAATCCACCTCCACTCTCTTCTACATATTTGCTGGGCGATAGGTTCTTGGTTGGTTCTTTGCCAGCCAGCGTTCCTTGTTTCTTATTCTTTCTAGCCATCTGATCTTGAGTGTCGAGTTGGCATAGGCGGCAGCTGCTGATGAATGTCTGTAGTTTGTTGGAAATGCTTTTCGTAAGGCGCAAAATTCTCTCAACGATCACATAGAAGCACTGACTTGACTGAATGATATTAGGGTTGAAAATCCGGATCTTGTTGACACTTTATGCTGAGTGGAGTGGAGTGCAGTGTAGTAGATTTCCATACTGATTCTTTCAGATTAATGAAGGTAGACCTGTCTTACTGTCTTTTCAATATTGGTTTTGACATCTTCATGTGTGCCTGTGTCGCCAGTTCTTGCGAAGACTTAGGTCGTCGTTATTTGGGAGTTTGACAAGGTAGCGCTTCTTCCAATCGACTGACAGGTACCTTACCTTTTCTTCCTTGTAAACCTTTTGCAATAGTGATGTGAACATGTCCGCTGATATCTGTACGTCTGTTTTCAGTACTTCTGGCGGAATTCCATCCTGTCCTACTGCTTTACCAGCTTTCAGTAACTTTATGGGGTTCATAACTTCAGCTTTTATCGGACATGGAAACCATTAACCTTAAATTACCTTTAAACACTGATATTACATTGTGGAAACAAAACACACTTGACTTCTATTCTTTTCTATAAAAGCTTAAATATATGCGATATAATAATGTGAGCAGTGTAGAATGAGTTCTATGTTCTTCAATCGAACATGCGATGAAAGTAATAAAACGCTTAACACATAAAAGTGATGAGTTCAACTTCCAGCCAATAGGTTTAATTACTCTAAACATGATGAAACAGTAGGATAAGCAGCATAATGATGGCATGTAGAATGAAGAGATTCAGATAAAATCTGATATAGATAGAATGATGTTTAAATTTCACAGCACCTGTAAACCTGAATACCATTCAAGCTGTTGAGTAACTGAAAATATTTAGCGTATCGTGTTTATATCAGTCACTTTTCTTGAAGTATCCATTCTCTAGACTTAATAGTAATTGAAGGTTTAAATTCATTTCGTCATTTATACATATCTATGCATAGCTAGAGAGAGGGTATCATTCATCGTTCATTGTACAACACGTGCACCTCACAGTGTAACCTCACTTCAAACTATAAACAGATGAAGTTGGAAGAAAAATATATTCCTCAGTAAGTGAAAAACTTTACTTCATATTCAATGATAAATGCATAGATAATTTATTTTATAAAGAGAAATCGAATAAATAAATAAAAGGAAATTTTAATAAATATTCTTTTTAGTAGACTTTTAATTAAACCATAGGAAAATCTGTTTGAAATTCAGAAATTTAGACCATGACGAGCTTCGCCTTCCATATTGAATCGTTACCTGAAATATAAATGTATTTCCCTCTCTCTCTCCCTCATATAATCTCAGTAATAATCTTTCTTTTAGCTGAGTAAAACAAGTTGTTCAACAGTACTCAATAATTAATAGGAAATGTATAGTAATGATGGGCAGTGGAATCCAGGATGCTCATTTCGTCCTATTTGGGACTCGTCAGCTGGATGTACCTGCCTCCTAGTGAGCGATGCTGTTCCCACCGAGACTCGGACTCTGGAGCAATCGCTTTAGACGCCAGAGCGTTATCCACTACACCACCGAGCCACGATAGCCACTTCTTGTGCAACAGGTATACAAGCAATAACATTGATAATAGGAAATGTTATCAAAAGTGGATAAGAAGTGAATTTTATTTAAATGATAATATGTATGAAGTTTAGTTGGTTGTCTTACGATCCTACATGAAGTTACTTGTTGTTGTTGTTGTTGTTGTTGTTGTTGTTGTTGATGTGGAAGGCATTATCATACTTTAATGTTCAATGTTTCAATAGTCGTATACTCAGATGTATGTATGTATACCTTTTAAATACACAAGCTGAATAATATTCACAATTATAAAGAAAAATAATAATTTATTCATTGAAAATATACAATATATATTCATGTAATGATAAGTTTCGATGATTAAAAGCTTATTTAGTCGATTATTTTAATCGACTACTTATCATAGAGAAAATAGTTATCACTGGATGAATAGGAAAGATATGCACAATATGTATATTTTCCAAAATTATGATTGTATTATTTAACTGGACAGAGTTGATTGAACTCCGTTGATAAACTGAGACTTAAACAGATGTCTAGAGATTATTTATGATGTAATTTGATTGATGGTGACTAACAGTAAAATACAGAATGTATATTTCTTCATATTTACGAATTGAACATTGAAGGTAACTAACTATATCCTGACTGGGATTTGAAATTCACATTGATCCCTTCAAATACCAAAAAGGTTTTCGCTGAGGCTACTGACGCATGAGGTTCACCTCTTTTACAACAGATATCAGCTGTTATTTATCGATGGTTTTAACTTCTTACTGATAGTTAGTTATACACATGAACTTAGAAAGGTAGGGACGAGATATTTATGACTAAATTAGTGTGCTTTATATTATTCAGCCTGAAGTAATCTAATTTTATTTAGACATTTAATTTTTCTTTCATGTCATAATTTGTTTCTACCCTTCTTCCATGAATAGACAACGGCGTTTATTTCCATATTCACATGTTTCATTGTACAGAAGTACAGATGATCAGGAGTGTTTTTAAACAAGAAGGCTGTCAATAGGTATTCCTTATTATATTTCTTCTTATTCTCTCCCAGTCCTAATTATTTCTTGACCATATTAAAATGCTTTGACAAAAGTTACACTACTTTTATACCTTAAGGTATTTTAATCATTGAAAAATGAAAATAACTAGTAACTCCCATTAGTAATCATTGAAGAGAATTGTTAGTGGTAGTATATTACAAAGTGAAATTCCTTTTGGTTAATTTTTGCTTATAAGGTAATTTTCATCGATTAAATAATCATTCTATAACGGTTGATTTGGCTTACTTCGGTGGTACTTAGTAATACACAATTCCAAGGTCAAAGAGCAGATGCTTATCAATCAATCAATCAATATCAATATAGGACCAGGCATTGCTGCTAACGGTCCGAGTTGCCATAGCTCACATCAGTACATCAAGTAGAAAGGTAGTGAGGTGAAGGATGAAGATAAGAGAATGCAGTCAAAAGAAATATAAAGTACGAGAAGAAAGGAAAGAGGAATGACAAAATGGTGAGGTTCGGTATAGTGAAGTTAAGATGAGGTAATGCGTGTATACATCTGCGCCACTCACATCGGTTCTCAGACATATCACCTAGAGTCAGTCTCCAACCACTGGTCCCTCTTGTCCCGCCAACCCCAACCAACTAGTCTGCATCGTCCTACATAGCTTAAACCAACAGTCAGAGACTTCATACATTGGTGCCATGTTTTAGTCTGGCCACCTTGGGCCTTTTTCCAGCCTGGACCCACCTCAGCCAACATTGTGTGATGAGGCAATCGGTGACTAGGCATACGTAGTACGTGTCCCAACCATCTCAGTTGATGAAGGTTCATAACCTCGTCAACTGATTTACCTCTTCTCACTCCCTAAAACTCTACACCTGACTTCTGCATTATTCACGTGGTGTGGTGACACCACGGAATACGGTGGCCTATTCTACGAAGGCGACAGTGGTCAAACACTTGAAGCCTTCTCATATATTCCACTTTCAATCAAATTGAACAATAGACATACTTGCCGAAATTCGACTGATTGATATTGCTGAACCGAATTGAAATGACAGACATTTGATTTATGGAATGCTAACCCTAACCTTAAACGCTTGATTCTTGTATGCAAATATTTCAGAAATAGGTGTACTGCTACTTACTGTATAATAGAAGTAATGTGATCAGTAGTCCTAATTTACTCCCTATCATGAGGTTGATGAATATCCATCTTGTTTATCAGAAGACAATCATAATAAAAGGAAGTATTTTCTGTTCAATTTGTCATCATTATGATAAAACAAAGTTGGTCTTTTTATTAAACTATCAGTTTGACAAGCGACTATCAATTGTAATAACATTTTAATTAAAACAGTCATTTGTTGAGTATATTCAAAGTGTTCTACTGCTCTTTCTTGTTTTTATTTCTCTTTGCACGGTCTTGTTTTCTATGATTTTATACAAGAAAGATTTCAACTGTTTAGCAGC